CCAGATCTGACCACATCGCCAGCCGAATCCAGCCCACGCATGCCTTGTGTTTGACACCTGTGCTCTATAGCATTTCAGACCAGTGCCTGTCCAGTCCCTTCTTAAAAACTTCCAGTGTTGGAGCACCCACAACTTCCGAAGGCAAAGTCGTTCCATTGGTTAATTTTTCCCACTTTCAGGAAATTTCTCTTCTGATTTCTAGGTTGGTTCTCTCCTTGATCAGTTTCCATCCGTTGCTTCTTATCTTGCCTTCTGGTGCTTTGGACAATAGGTTGACCCCTTCTATTTTTGTGGCAGCTCCTCAAATAATGGAAGATTGCTGTCATGTCAACCCTGCTCCTTCTTTTCATTAGACTAGACATACCCAATTCCTGCAATCTTCTTCGTATGTTTTAGCCTTGAGCCCCCTAAAGATTGGTACTTCACTTTTGTTGTGGTTCACTGGCAGCCTGTGCAGACGGCAGCGAAATCAGACAGTGGGGAAGAACAGGGATCAGTCCAGGAGTCTGGGGAGGACTCGGATGAGGGTCCTGCATCCGATACAGAGATGGGGCCAGGACCATCTGGGAGTTGTGTGCTGACTCCGGAGCCTCCACAGTCTGGCAGCAGTGAGGCAGAGGCACAAGGGGAGCCTGTTCCAGTGCGCGCTTCCACAGAGCTGCCAGAAGGCAAGAGCAGCTGAGACAAAAGGGGCAACTTGGGAGTAAGGCTTGGAGGGGATTGCCCCTCCCCTAAGGTAAAAAGAGCAAAGATAGAGAAACCTTTGCAGGAAGCAAAGTCGTTCACTCTGTTCAGATTAAACTTTGAAGCTCTGTGTGGGCTTTGTACTTCGGTTGGTTTTTTTCCAGTTAATTTGGCACTTTAGTTGTTGGCAGCAATTCAAAGGAGAGAAAGGTGGGTGCTTATCTCAAGGGATTATTTTGGATTCATTACATGCTGGGAATGAAAATAATTCCCAGCATTGAAATAAAACAAGAGTTGTTTGGACTAAGCGTGTGCTTAATTACGGTCTTAGGAACAACTTACCTCAGCTAGATATTTCTGAATCGTAGAGGAGGACGGTAGAAGAATATGGGAAAACCTCCTTTATCATTCTCTTTCCTGAGTGGCTAAACAGGCTGTTATTTATGTAATGGAATGCATTAGGATGATAGAACTTGATGGGACCTCGGAGGTTTTCTAGTCCAACCCCCTGCTCAAGGCAAGCCACCTTAAAGCATCCGGGTTAAATGGTTGTTCAGTCTGTTTTTGAAAACCTCCAGAGATGGAGCACTCGCAGCCTCAGGAGGGAAGCTGATTCTATTGATTCAATTGTTCTCACTGTCTTCTGACCCAAACCCTTGTCCAATGAAACAAACACGAACCAAAAGGAATAGAAACCTTGTAATGATTCTTACGAATCCCCTGTTAAAAGGATGCTGCAAACTAATTAACTTTGATAAGCACGAACCTCGCCAAAACTGTGCGAGGCTGCCAAGAATAACAGATAAGAAATATTTCACAACACAAGAGTCTTCAAATACCAACTTAAGATACTGCAATGTCCACAAGGCTGGAGTTTCAAAATGTTTTTGCTTCCTGCAAAGAACGTCTGATTCACAGCTGGCTTTTATCTTCTTGAAGGAGGGGCCATTACCTTGCAGCCTTACTTCTGAGTCACCTGTGCTGGTGCAGTGCTCTTTCCTGCGAGCAGCCCTGTGCACATGCGCACTTGGCACAGGCTCCTCGGGAAGCTCCTCATCGCTGCTGCCAGCCCCCACAATCTCTGAAGGCAGCAGTCCACTCCCTAATGGTCCTGGCCCCTCATCTGAGTCCTCACTCTCCTCAGCCCTCTGCACCTGCTGCCAGCTAACCAAAACACACTGTCAGAAAATTTCTCCTCACTTCTAGGTTGGTTCTCTCTCTTTAACGAGCTTTGGTCATTATTTTTGTCATTGAATAATTGCAAAGAAACAAGGAGATGAGCACAATGCACTTCTCCCCTATCTGTTCCCCACAAAACCCATGCTCAAGCTCTTGTTTGCAGCCATGTCACTGATACCAGAACCAATCCAGAGCCACAGTGGAATAATGGAGTTATTACATTTGCAATTTGTAATTCCACGCTTGACAGTACTTGACAGAATTACGGCACATTAGAACATTGGCACAGCCAGTCGTGGAAATCAAAGTCTCTACATTTTAATGAAACAGGGAAGAAAGTTGCAAATGGTTATGAATCATTTAAATGTGTAGAGCCAGGGGTATCGAACTTGATTGCATTGAGGGCCGCATCAGGGTTGTGTTTGATCTCGGGGGCGGGGGGGGGGCAGAGTGGGCATGGCCAGCTTGACGTCACTTGTGTCGGGGGCACCTGTGGTGGCACGGGCAGGCCTGGGGGGATCCTCCTGCAGCCCTCTGCCAATGAATTTGAGCCTGGGAGGGTCGTGTACAGCCCTCCTGAACTCTTTTTTTACTGGCATGGGTAGGTCCTTTGCTATTTCCAGTGTAGCCTGGAGTTCCTTGAGTTTGACGCCACTGGTGAAGAGAAATGATATTTTTCTTAGGGGACTGGAGACCAAAACATATGAAAAATGGTTGCAGGAATTGGGTATGGCCAGACTAGAGAAAAGAAAGACTAGCGGGTGACATGATAGCTGTATTCCAATATTTGAAGGGTTGCCCCAAAGAAGTGGGAGTCAAGCTATTCTCCAGAGCACCTGAAGGCAGGACAAGAAGCAACGGATGGAAACTCATCAAGGAGAGAAGCAACCCAGAACTGAGGAGAAATTACCTGACAATAAGAACAACCAATCAGTGTAATGGCTTGCCTTCAAATACTGACCTATATTTGAGCCTATAAGAAGAACATTTTTCCTATGTACTCTCTCCAGGTTTTAAAATATTTTGTGTGTGTGTGTGTGTGAAAATATTTTTAGAACAATAAAATCTGCAGTCCTTTCTTATCCCATGCAGGGACACCCATGAATACAGGTGACTTGGTAGAATGTAATGCATAATATTTTGTATAGTAAAGCTCCAGGTACAAAAGAATTCACCCATGTTCTCTTCTGAGACCCTAATTGTCAGAATTGGTGGTACTTAAGCAAGGAGGAAATATTTTAGAGTTTATTGGTTAGTAAAAGACGGAGAGACGGCTCTATTTTCAGGTTTCTGCTTCTTGAGATTGTGGTTTGAAATATGTCCGTCGCAAAAGACTAGATCAATGAAACAGCTTCATTGCTAAAAGCCCATGCACAGGAATCTTCTAAAATAACAGTGCAGCATCTGCTAAGAGATAGACAAGGATCAGTGGAATTCAAGGGAGTTTGGACTTAATTCAACTTGTGACCATGTAGAGATTCTAGGCTAATCCCTCTCTTAACTCCGCCCCTAGGTTCTGCCCAATATTTTCTCCTGCAAATATTTTCCAAATGTCTTGTACGTCGCCTTGAAAGTCTGCCTACCGAACACCGTTAGAAATAACTTTTAATATATTTGTAATGCAATAGCTGGAACGCAAAGATTCAGGCTAGTCTAAACAACGTTATGCTTGCTATCTGGTATGACCAGGCTAAGATTTGCTAAGCACAAGTGAAGCATTTATAGAAGAATTCAGTTCCTCGGCGTTGCCGTGTTGAACTTAGAGCAGCAACGAACACTTGTAATTTACACCATCAGCTATTTTAATCTTACGATTTTTAAAGTGGTGATAATGCTTATTTTTACTACAGTACCATGAGATGCTGCATCCGTTGAACATTCTGTATCAGGGCACTGTAAAAAAACAACAACATAATTTCATTTTTATTAGTTTGTCAGTTCTCCTTCTAATACTTCCTCTCTGTTCATGTTTGTCTTTTGAGTTGTGAATCGGCCAACTTGTAGTTGCTTACTCGTGTATGACTAAAAGCCATTGAAATGCACCGGAGCCTCTCTTTTTGTGTGGGTGCTTTCTATTCTTTAACTTCGATTAACTGGCCTAGCATTACCTATGTTTTATTCGTTTGAAAAGTCAGAAAGTGTGATGACCCAGGGTGGGATACAAAAGCAACAAAAACAGATGAAGTCCCTTTAATTCCTTCAACTTGGCTTCAAAGGTCCAATTATCATTGACTGGAAAAAAAACTCCCCCACAAACAGTTGCAAAAAGGAAGAACTTCCATTCAAACTCAAAATACATATAAATTATAAATAGGAAAAAACAACACAAACCACACTGAAGCAATTAATGACACAAGGCAGAATAAGGGCTTGAAGACGTCCACAGATATTGAAATACACACACTGGGAAGGATGCCAGAATTCAGATAAGAACTGACAAATTAGAAATATTTTCACTCTTTGTCTCCAAACTGGCCCATGCGCAGTTTGTCCTTTTAAACAGTCCTCACAGCTACATGAAGGGGATCAAGACCCTTTCCTCCCCCATAGACCACGCCATTCATGTTGCTCCCTTATCCGTTCCTCCCTGCGTGCCCTAGGAGGAAGAGGGGATGGGCCTGGGTCTTCCTCTGAAAGCCCAGCCAGCCTGTGTCCTTCCCCAGTTTCCTCCACAACCTCCGGAGCCACACTCTCACTCCCTGTTGGCTATTCCTCCTCTCCCTATGTGTCAAGCTTACGGCCTTCCTCGCCACAGCTATGTTAAGTTGTTAAATTAGTAACACAGTTGTTAAGTGAATCTGGCTTTTCCCATTGACTTGTCTTGTCAGAAGTGTCAGCTTTGGAGGTGGCAAATGTCCTTAACTGTGAAAAACCATCCTAATTCACATTTTTCAATGCTGCTGTCACTTCGAACAGTCACTAAGTGGGAGTGTTGTAAGTTGAGGACTACCTGTATTGTCATTTCAACATGCCTTCCCAATTTCCTGTGGTAATGCCAAAGTGTTGGCCGACTTTATGTGCTTGTGGTTTTAATTTTTTTTAAACGAGGACTAGCTGCATATCAAGAAGATTTGAAAAGTGGTGTTGTTTGAAACCGTAAATGAATGTAAAACTTTTTTCTCTTCTTTCTTTTGAAGCTGGACCAGTGATTTACCGAATGCTGACCTATCCTCCAACCCGAAGGCAGCTGATTGTGGGTTGTAGTTTGCAGATGTTCCAACAGCTGGCAGGTATTAACACAGTCATGTATGTATCATTCAACTTTTTAAAAGAGAATTCCGCCCTTTATTTTCAGTTTAAGAGACGGAAAACATTGTCAAAACGGTTTAACAATGCAAAGTACTAAAGTAACTTTTTGATATAATGTGTGTGTGTATGTATTTATGTATGTATGTATGTATGTATGTATGTATGTATGAATATAAGAGAAGAAACAGACATCTTGCGATCTCCGGAACTAAAATTATATTTATTATACTTGCTAAGCTTTTGTCAGCCTCTGCTGACATCGTCAGAGTATTAAACTACCATTACAGAGATCTATGCCTTTATATATCATGAATCAATTTAGCCCTTGCATGCACAATAGGCTCTTCCAACCGCCTCCCACCTATAATTAACTCTGTTGCTTTTGCTTCAGTCATGTTGATTGATGGAGGTTTAACTCCTGTTGTTTTCTCCCTTACCAGACCCAGCTTGAATTGCTTATCTCTAAGAAGTGATGTTAACCTGTCAGCTATTGCAATTTGTTGCTTTGCCCATGATCTTGTGGCCTGCCCGGCTCGTTCTTCATTATTCTTGTCTGTTATAGATCTCTGTAATGGTAGTTTAATACTCTGACGATGTCAGCAGAGGCTGACAAAAGCTTAGTAAGTATAATAAATATAATTTTAGTTCTGGGAAGATGTCTGTTTCTTCAATGATTTTGTGATGACCCCGAGCGTGGCACGAAAGCAGCACAGCCAGAGAACAGGTCTAACTCTCCTTTACTTCTCCAGCTTTGCCCCCCAAACGTCCCCACGTTTACTACAAGTCCTGGAGCAAAGCTCTCACGTGCACCTTCAGCAGCCTCTAGCTGCAAGTAGTCCAGGAAACCAGTTTAACCAAACAGTAACCAGGGCCAGCAGTCCAGGAAGCCAGGTTAGCCAAAC